CTTTGGTCCGAGTCTCCTGGTGACGTGTCTGCATTTCACGTCTGGGGCTGCCTTGCTCACGTTCGTGCCTTCGGCACGGACAAGCTCACTGCCCGCACCCTTCCCTGTGTCTTCCTGGGTTTCCCCCTTGACGTGTCCGACTGGCACTTCTACCACCTGCCGTCTCACCGGTTCTTTCACTCCCGCGATGTTACCTTTGACGAGTCCGTCTCCTTCTAACGCCGCTTCCCCCACCGAGGTCCCCCGGTTACTCCCCCCCCTGTTTCTGGTCACCCCTTCCCTGGTGGTCCCTGCCCCTCCCCCTCCCCCTCCCCGTCCTGCCTTGTCTGGTGTGTCCCACGTCACCCCCCTCACGTCGGTTGTCCCGGTCGAGGAGTCTGCTGACTCTGGTAGCCCCGCGGCGCAGTCCTCGCCGCCTGCCCCTCCCTAGGTGTCTCCTTCTCCGCCGCCTCAGCAGCCGCCGTCGCCACCGCTGTCGCAGCCGCCGTCGCCACCGCTGTCGCAGCCGTCGCCACCACCGCCGCAGCTGCCGCAACCGTCGTTGCAGCCGCCGCCACCACAGCCGTTGCCGCAGCCGTCGCAGCAGCAGTTCGTTGACTCTGGGGGTGCTGTAGTTGGGGTCGGTACTAGTCCTAGGATTCCTGTCGTGGCTTGTCCCGGCGGGCCTGGGGGTGGTACCGGTGCTCGAGGGGTTCTGAGTTCTGGGGGTGTTCCTTCTGGGGGTGCTGGAGTGGAGGTTTCCGGAGGTAGCCGTCGGGCCGCTTGTGGTCCCGGTGTCGGTGTCATACCGCCGCAGCAGCAGTCCTCGCTGGTGTCAGCTCTTTGCCTGCTCGGCCTTCCGTCCCCTGACCACGCGTCTGTGCCTCCTCATCTTCCTATCTACGGTCCTGTGTGCCCTCCTTCGGACTCGTCTCTAGCTGGTCTTCCCCCTTGTTCCCCTCTTGTGTCCCCTCCTCAGTCTCCTAACCCAACTCCTTCGTCTCACGTCTGGTCTTGCCGTCCCTCCCGTGCTCGCCCCGTCTCCCCTGTACCACGCTCTCACCCTATGTTGCTTTGTTCCCACGCATCTCGTCCTCCTCTCCTACTGTTACCTCCTCCGTTCTCCCTTGTTATTGCGCCTCCCCCTCTGGCTGACTACCTTCGCGCTGCTCGTCCTCTTGTTCCTCGGGTCCTTGCCTCTCTCGTTACCGACCCGTCTGTTCCGGTCTCGTGTCTTGACGCCCTTGTCGCTGCGGTTGCTGACTTCGCCTCTACCCGCCGCCTTGACTACGCCACAGCTCTGGTCTCTGATCCTGCCAGTCCTCCGTCTGTCGGGGGTGCTCCTGCCCTTGGCAGTGACGTCCTGGAGGAGCGCCAGTACGAGCTTGCTTTCCTGTCTGAGGCTGCTCCCCATCTCTGTTCCATGCTTCTAGTCCCTGAGGGTGACCCCGACGCTTTCTACATCCCGACCCCTCGCACTTACGTTGAGGCGGTCTCGGGACCCTGGGCCTCTCAGTGGATAGCTACCATGGAGCAGGAGATGGCATATTGGAGATCCACCGATACCTACGTCGACGCAGTTCCCCCACCTGGGGTGAACGTAGTCGATGGCCGCTGGCTCTTCAAGGTGAAGCGCCCTCCTGGAGAGCTGCCTGTGTTCAAGGCGCGCTATGTGGCTAGAGGTTTCAGTTAGCGTGAGGGGGTGAACTTCTTCCAGACCTTCGCTCCGACCCCGAAGATGACTACTCTTCGGGTGTTGCTACACGTAGCAGCTCAGCGTGACTACGAGCTTCACTCCCTTGACTTCTCTACTACGTTTCTTCAGGGCAGTCTACACGAGCACGTCTACCTGCGCTGCCCTCAGGGTTTCACTGGTACCTTCCCTCCTGGGACCCAGTAGCTTCTGCGGCGCCCCGTCTACGGCCTGCGACAAGCTCCTCGTGAGTGGCACGACACGCTGCGTGCTACCCTTTCTGACCTGCACTTTTTTCCGTCCTTTGCAGACCCCTCGCTCTTTGTTCGTGCTGGCCAGACTCCGTTCTACATCCTTGTTTACGTAGACGACTTGGTCTTCGCCACTGCAGACAGGGACGCACTGGCCTCGGTGAAGGCAGAGCTGTTGAAGAGACAAACTTGCACTGACCTGGGAGAACTGCGCCATTACCTTGGTTTGCAGAACTCCTGGGACAGAGCAGCGCGCACCATCACCCTCAGTCAGTCACAGTTCTTGCGCTAGGTCCTTCAGAGGTTCGGCCTTCAGTTCTCCTCTGCACAGCCCACCCCTCTGTCTGTAGACCACAGGCTCTCTGCTCCAGTTCCTGAGGAGTCGGTAGAGCCCAGTGGCCCTTACGCTGAGCTGGTGGGTTGCCTCATGTACATGATGACTTGCACTCGATCAGATCTCGCATACCCTCTGAGCATCTTGGCGCGCTTTGTGGCCACAGGCAGATACCGACCTCAGCATTGGTCTGCCGCTAAGAGGGTTTTGCGTTATCTTGCAAGTACATCGAGCATGGGGTTAGTGCTAGGAGGGCGCAGGCCAGTGGTCCTTACTGGGCACACAGACTCTTCGTGGGCAGACGACGCCGAGAGTCTTAGGTCCTCGCAGGGCTACTGCTTTAGCCTTGGTTTGGGTGCTGTCTCGTGGAGAGCTACTCGCTCCTCGTCTGTTGCCCACTCCAGCTGTGAGGCTGAGATCTACGCCGGTGCCATGGCGGCACAGCAACTCCGCTGGCTGATCTTCTTGCTCACTGACTTAGGTGAGCGGCCTAGCTCTGCCCCGGTCCTGTATGCTGACAACAGGGCCATGATCCTCCTGTGTCAGGAGCCACGACTTGAGGGCAGAGCGAAGCACATTCAGCTGCGATACTTCCTCCTGCGCGAGCTACAGCAGCGCCACCAGGCTCGCGTAGTACACTTGGCCTCTGGTGCCAACACAGCTGATATCTTTACAAAGATCATCAGCGGCACTGTGTGCAGCTTGGTCTTGTTCTTGTAGCCTCTCATTTGCTAGGGCCTTGATTGTGTACAGACCTTTCTATATATTACCCAGACTGGCCTTGTGGCCTCTCCCTGTGGCTGGACTAGTAGTGCCGCCTTGGTCTTGCTCTTGTCTTGTCTGTACTCCTTTTGACTGGTCTTTAGACCCTTGTCTCAGAGGCTGCACTAGTATTGCCGCCTTGAGCTGCTTATTCTCTTGTTAGGCACTGCCCCTATATAGTCTAGGGGGTGTGTCAAATGTAACTTAGGTGGTTATTGTAGACTATACTGGTTTGTGCCTTAGAGGGTACAATACGGTAGTCTATATTGCCCTGTATCCTCCTATTCTAGTCATTCTCTCATTCTGATAAGCACATCATGCACCACCCAGCCGTGGTTGCACGCTCGTGCTGTGCAGAGCACGTTCCACAGCACAAGCACTGTCAGCTAAAGCAGTGTGCCTAGCAGGAGAGCTAATTTCTAGACCTTTGTGGTCCTGGAGGAATTGCCACGTCCCTTCTGTCAAACATATATTGTTATGTTTGTATGGACTGTATAGGTTTGTGCCTTAGAGGGTACAACCCTTAGGTCATATACCCTTGTACTCATGCCTTCTACTCATTATTCAATTCTGATATGGTATCATGAGTAGGTAGGTCCCACCGCCTGCCCACGCTTCCCCCCTAGGTCCTAGCCGCCCGTTCCAGCCGGCTCCTAGCGCCCATTCCAGCCGGCCCTTGCGCCCGTTCTAGCCAGCCCCTCGCGCCCGTTCTTGGCTGGCCCTCGAGCCCGTTCCAGCCGGCCCTCGTGTCCGTTCTAGCCGGCCCCCTCGCGCCCGTTCCAGTCGGCCCCTAGCGCCCGTTCCTTCCAGCCCCTCGCACCTGTTCTAGCCGGCCCTAGCGCCCGTTCCAGCCGGCCCTCGCGCCTGTTCTAGCCGGCCCCCTAGCGCCCGTTCCAGCCGGCCCTCGCGCCCGTTCTAGCCGGCCCCTCGCGCCCGTTTCTGGCCGGCCCTCGAGCCCGTTCCAGCCTGTCCTCGCGCCCGTTCTAGCCGCCCCCCCCCCCTCTGACGCCCGTTCTCTCCGGCCCCTCGCGCCCGTTCTAGCCAGCTTGCGCTCCCGTTCTAGCTGGCGCCCCCGTGCCCGCTCCTAGCTGGCTTCGCGTGCCCGTTCCAGCCGTTCCTCACGCCTGTTCCTCACTGGCCTCCGCGCCCGTTCCTAGCCGGCCCTCACGCCCGCCCTAGTTGGCCCCACGCCCGTTCCTAGCCGGCCCCTTGGCCCGTTCCTAGCTGGCCTCCACGCCCGTTCTTAGTTGGCCCTCGCGCCCGTTCCTGATCGGCCCCGCGCCCACTCCTACCCAGCCTCGCGCCCGTCCCTAGCTGGCCTCGAGCCTGCCCCTCGTCGGCCCCGTGCCCATTCCTGACCGGCCCCGCGCCCGTTCCTCGTCAACTGGCCCGCCGTCAGCCCCAGTGCCAAGTTTGTAGCCGCGCACCACTTTGCACAGCTTAGCACCGCACAGCACCGCTCTGCACCGCACTGCACCGCTCTGCACTGCACAGCACCGCTCTGCACCGCACAACACCGCTCTGCACCGTACTGCATCGCGCTGCACAGCACTGCACTGTTGTGTGATGTCATCATATGCTATCACATTCTGTCTGCCTCTCATCTCTTGTTTCAATTCGTATGTATGGTTTGACTGTGTGTGAAAGAATTTGTGTGTGGTGTGTTCTGGAGTTTGGGAATGTGTTTTGTGTTATTCTGTCTGAGCAGGTATTTGTGATGATAGATCTTGAGAAGATCTTTCCGACGCAACAAGAATCGCTTCAATCGGAGCAAGAACGCGAAAGCTATGAAGATTCAAAGTTCATGAGCTTGCGTTACAATTGCGGCGGTTACAAAGTGAAGTTGTGGGGTGACTTTATATGGAGTTGGGACCTTTGGGGTTGGGGAAACTTGTCACTCTACTGTAACAGCTGCAAATTGGTTGGGAACAACCAAGCTAGGTTGGCAAGGGTGGCCAACTTGGATGGATTGGTTGGGAAGGGACAAAGGTCAAAGTTGAGGTTCCTATAGGGAGGGAATCTTTGTGCTTATGGGGTTTCCTTGGTTGGGGACTCTCTTGGGACCTTCCCTCTCATCCTTCTCTTCCTATCCCAACCTTTCTCTTGCTCCTTCTAATTCCTTGTGAGATTCTTGAACTTTGATTGAACTCTTGAGATTGAGTTAAGTTCTCCTCCTACAGCTTACCCCCTAGTGCGTCGAAAGCCATAGCGTCGCGAATACTTCATCAATCAACGTGATTCAAATTGGGAACGGTAGCTGAGATCAAGAGCTACAACATATCCAAGTTTCGCGACATTCCAACGGCTAGTGTTTTGTCGACGTCGTTTCTTGTGAAGACGACTTTTCTGTCCAGAATTTCGGATTTATATTTTGAGTAATTCTAGCTCCTAAGTTCACCTAGACTCTGTCCTTAATCCTAACAAGTGGTATCAGAGCCATATTAAGGACATTGAGAGGAGTCTACAGAAGTGTGAAGACCCTTCTAGACCCACCATGGCCTGTGGGTGTGCCTAAGTGGTGTTCTAAAGGTTGGATGTGTCTTCCGCTAAGGGGAAACTCTGCCGAAATTTCGTGGACGCCGATACTTGTGAAAATATCGAGGGAGCTGAGTGTGGACAGCAAAGGGGAGCTGAAATTCGTCATTTCTCAAGGAGAAGATGAATGAGAGAGGAGGAGATGCTAATGGAAGAGGAGCTGTAGCTGAGAAGACAAGTGAGCCGCCGCCATCAAAAGTTGAAGCTTTGGATGGCTCCAACTATGAGGAATGGAGCGGACGGATGAGGAGTGCCTTCAAACGCTACAAGCTACTGAAGATTGCTGTTGGGGAAGAGAAGATGCCGGAAGAAGGCGAAGCACGCGAACGGTGGATTGAGAAAAGCGCGGTGCTTTTCGACCTCATCCTTCAATCGGTCAACAAGGAGATGTTCGAGCACATCAAGGATCTTGTGGAAGCGGATGATTCGGGTCCAAGGGCGTGGAAACTACTACGTGATGTGATTCAGCCCAACACTCTCCCAATGGTGATCGTGCTCGAGAAGGAACTTGCTGCCATCTCCATGCGACCAGGGGACGATGTGAAGCCGGTCCTTGACAAGATCAAGGACACCTATGCAAGGATGGCAGCAGCGGGCAGTAGTGTATCTCAGCTGCAGCAGTGCACCAAGATCATCTCGGTGTTGGACAACTCTTGGGACAACCTCATCCCCACCCTCAACTCTCAGCAAGATCAATGGACACCTGAGTGGCTAAGGCAGCAGATTCTGCAGGAGGACTTCCGCAGACGCCATGTGGGAGGCGGTGCTGCCACTAAGACTGCTGAGGGGTATGGAGCTGCAGGGCGCGGCAGAGGAAGAGGGGGTTGGAGAGGCCGAGGCCGTGGGAGAAGCTTTGGCAGAGGTAGAGGCCGAGGTGACTATAATGAGGGGCATGGGAGCTCCAGTGGCAGGGGGAGTACCAGAATGGAGGGCACCTGCTGGTACTGCAAGAAGGTCGGGCATCCTTGGTTCAAGTGCTTCAGCAGGCCGGAGGGATGGGCACCTCCAGGCATGAAGCCGCCCAGTGGTGAACGCGCACAAGGTGGTGCTGTGCAAGGCTCAGGTGCACAAGGTGAAGGTGCACAAGGTAATGCCTATCCTGGGATGTTTCTCATGGTTGAGGATGTGCATGGGCATGAGGGTGATGTGGGATCTGTGGGAAAGGTTGTGATGCACCCTCTCACGCACTGGGTGATTGATTCAGGTTGCACCAGTCACATGACCCCACGGGCAGATTTGCTTGATGAGGTAAAACCCCCTGGGAAGATCAAGTATGTGGCAGCAGCGTCAGGTGCTTTGCTCCCTGTCATTGGTGTTGGAAATGCCAAGGTTAAGGGAGCTAATGGGGAGCTTGTGGGGCTTGGGAATGTTCTGCTGGTTGAAGGCTTGTCTGCTAACCTTCTCTCTGTGCGACGACTGCAGAAGAGCAAGGCCGAAGTGACCTTTGGACCAACCAGCTGCCGTGCTAAGCTTGGGAAGAAGGTGCTGTGGAGTCTGGAAGAGGAGACCAGCTGCATCAAGGACCTGTGGCAGCTGCCCATCATCCCATGGAATGGGAAGACTCCAACAGCAGCAACGGCAGCAACGGCAAAGGCAACAGCAGGAGGAGATGCAACTGCACCAACTGATGGGGTCCTGGAAGCAGTCAAGAAAGTGCAGCAGCAGCAGACACATGGCGAGGTGCTTGCTGGTGTGGATGCGAGTGCGGCATGGGCTAAGGCTTCATCAAGGAGTGGAGAGGCCGATTGGGAGACATGGCATGAGAGGCTGTGTCATGTGAACTTCCCTATGCTGCAGAAGTTGGTGAAGGATGGGAGCCTGAAGGGCTTGGAGGTGAAAGGGGGAGTGAAGGAGATTGGGAGCTGCCCTACATGCTTGGAGACCAAGTTCTCCAAGTTCCCCTTCAACAGCACTACAGGACCAGCCAAGACCCCACTTGCACTTGTGCACATGGATGTGGTGGGGCCCACAAGAGCCCCTTCCCTCTCAGGTAGCCGCTATTTCTTGACAATTGTGGATGACCACACTCGGGCAGTGTGGGTTTACCCTTTGAAGAGCAAGGGGGAGGTGGCAGCGGCTGTCCTTAAGGAGTGGATGCCGAGAGCTCAGAGGGAATGCGGACACAAGGTGAAGGTGATCCGTAGTGACAATGGTGGGGAGTTCATTGGAGCTGATTTTGAGGGGGAGTTGAAGAGGAAGGGGATCCAACATCAACTGACAGTGCCCTACAACCCGCAGCAGAATGGCGTGGCTGAGAGGTTCAACAGGACCCTGCAGGAGGGGGCACGCACTCTCCTTGGGCGTGCAGGGCTGCCTGATCCGTTTTGGGTGTCTGCACTGAGGCAGGTCGCCCTTGTGAAGAACAGGGTGCTGGCTACAGTTGGAGATAAGGAGTGGATCCCATATGTCAAGTGGTATGGGAGTGCTCCAGCTGTGAATATGCTGAGGGCATTTGGGTGCATGGTAGTGTTTCATGTGCCTAAGGAGAAAAGGGGGAAGTTGGAGGCTTCTGGAAGATGGGGTGTGCACTTGGGGATTGCAAAGGATCACAAGGGGTGGCTGCTATGGGACTTGACCACCCAGAAGTTGACAGTGTCAAGGGATGTGAAGTTTCTTGAGTCCCTGTACTACAAGGAATGGAAGCAGCAGCAACAGAAGCTTCCATCTACACCGCTCATTGTGGAGGCGGATGAGGTGCAGCGGCCTTCAAGACAGGTAGAGGTTGCAGTGTCAGAGGAGGAGATGTCTGGGGTGACTGAGGAAGGGGGAGCAGCTGAAGTAGAGCAGCAGCAGCAGCAGCAGCATGAGTCTCCATCTCGAGTTCCACACCCGCCTGAGCGACCTAGGAGGGATGTGCGCCCTCCGGTGAGGCTGACCTATGGGGGAAGAGGCAAGCCGAATGTGGTGCAGGCTGGGAGTGTGGTTGAGCAGATTGAGGAAGATGAGATCGCTCACTGCTACTGGGCACCAATCCCTGAGCCCAAGACTCGAGAGGAGGCCTTGAATGGACCAAATGGGGAGAAGTGGAAGGCGAGTGAGGATGAGGAGTTTGGGTCCCTGATTGAGAACGAGACATGGGACCTGTGTGACTTGCCTCCTGGAAAGAAGGCAATCACTTCCAAGATGATCTACAGGCACAAGTATGGACCTGAAGGGGAGCTGACCCGCTACAAGTCTAGGCTTGTGGCACGGGGGTTTCAGCAGACAAAGGGGAAGGACTATGATGAGGTGTTTGCTCCTGTGGGGAAAGGAACAACACTGAGGGTGCTGTTGGCGATAGCTGCACTCCTGGGATGGAAGATACGGCAGATGGACATTGTGACTGCCTTTCTGAATGGGATCATTCTGGAGGAGGTGTACATGAAGCAGCCAGAGGGGCTGGATGATGGGAGCGGCAGGGTCTGCAGGCTGAAGAAGGCCATCTATGGCCTTAAGCAGGCGCCTCGTGCATGGTATCACAAGTTGGAGGAGGCGCTGTTGGCTGGGGGTTTCAAGAAGAGTGAGTGTGACCCCAGCCTGTTCCTGCTGCAGGAGAAGGATGAAATCCTCATGCTCTTGGTGTATGTGGATGATATCCTTCTCTTTTCTGCATCCACTGCTTTGCTGGACAGCGCAGAGCAGATGCTGGAGATGCAGTTCAAGTGCTCCAAGATGGGTGAGGCGAAGTACTACTTGGGGATGCATGTGGAGAGAGATGTGGAAAAGGGTGTGCTGAGGTTGCACCAGAGGAAGTACTGTGAGGGGCTGGCTGAGAAGTATGGGCTGCAAGATGGGGGAAAGCCAGCAACACCACTACCTTCAGGGTTTACTGTGGAGCCATGTGCTGATGAGGAGGTAGTGGGTGATAGTGACAGGAAGCTGTTTCATTCGATGGTTGGGTCGCTGAATTATGCTGCAAATCATACACGGCCTGACATTGCATTTGCTACATCACGACTGGCTAGCGTGGTTTCACGTCCTAGTCATGAGCAGCTGGAAGCGGCCAAGAGGTTGGTCCGCTATGTGAGTGCTACGGCATCAGTGGGATTGGAGTACAGTGGAGTGAGGCAGCGGTTGCAGAGAGGTGCTGCAGATGTGAAGAGTGGTGAGATGCTCTTGAGTTGCTATACTGACGCTAGCTTCAACTCAGTGAAAGCGGATGGCACCAGCATTGGGGGTTATGTGTGCTTGCTGGGAGGTGGTGCTGTGAGCTGGCGCAGCAAGAAGCAGAATGAGGTGGGATTGTCTTCATGTGAGACTGAGTACATGGCCTTACACCATGGGGCCAAGGAAGTGGTATGGCTGAGGCGTTTGTTGGAGGAGTTGGGAGTTGGTCAGGAGGAGCCGACAGTTGTGTTCTGTGACAATGAGTCTGCAGTGAAGCTGGCCAAGAATGCTTGTCTGCATGGGCTGACAAAACACATAAGGCCTAAGTGGCATTGGGTGAGGAGAATCCTTGATAAGGAGGTGCGGCTGGAGATAGTGAAGACCCATCAGCAGGCAGCAGATATTTTCACTAAGCGTCTGGCGGAGGCGGATCATTGGAAGGGCATGAAGCTTGCTGGGATGAGTGTGCATTGAGTATGCATGCTTGAGATGTGGTATGGTCGATGATGGTTGGCAGCCAGAGGGGGAGATTGTTGTGTGATGTCATCATATGCTATCACATTCTGTCTGCCTCTCATCTCTTGTTTCAATTCGTATGTATGGTTTGACTGTGTGTGAAAGAATTTGTGTGTGGTGTGTTCTGGAGTTTGGGAATGTGTTTTGTGTTATTCTGTCTGAGCAGGTATTTGTGATGATAGATCTTGAGAAGATCTTTCCGACGCAACAAGAATCGCTTCAATCGGAGCAAGAACGCGAAAGCTATGAAGATTCAAAGTTCATGAGCTTGCGTTACAATTGCGGCGGTTACAAAGTGAAGTTGTGGGGTGACTTTATATGGAGTTGGGACCTTTGGGGTTGGGGAAACTTGTCACTCTACTGTAACAGCTGCAAATTGGTTGGGAACAACCAAGCTAGGTTGGCAAGGGTGGCCAACTTGGATGGATTGGTTGGGAAGGGACAAAGGTCAAAGTTGAGGTTCCTATAGGGAGGGAATCTTTGTGCTTATGGGGTTTCCTTGGTTGGGGACTCTCTTGGGACCTTCCCTCTCATCCTTCTCTTCCTATCCCAACCTTTCTCTTGCTCCTTCTAATTCCTTGTGAGATTCTTGAACTTTGATTGAACTCTTGAGATTGAGTTAAGTTCTCCTCCTACAGCTTACCCCCTAGTGCGTCGAAAGCCATAGCGTCGCGAATACTTCATCAATCAACGTGATTCAAATTGGGAACGGTAGCTGAGATCAAGAGCTACAACATATCCAAGTTTCGCGACATTCCAACGGCTAGTGTTTTGTCGACGTCGTTTCTTGTGAAGACGACTTTTCTGTCCAGAATTTCGGATTTATATTTTGAGTAATTCTAGCTCCTAAGTTCACCTAGACTCTGTCCTTAATCCTAACATGCACCGCTGCTGCATTGCTCTTGATGGCGGACTCCGTGCTCCGCTTCGACGCAGAGGGTCAGCCGCTTGAGTTTGACACGTGGCTGGTCGACCTCCGCCGTCATCTCACTGGTCAGCGGCAGGACGGCCACTCCCTGGCTGTCCACCTTGACAGTACGCTTCCCTGCCCTGACCCCCCTGCTCCCCTGCCCCCTGACCCCTCGTCCGCTAACCGTGAGTCCGCTGCAGTTGCTGCCCTTGCCCGCTCAGTCTGGTTGTCTCGTGACGCTGTAGCGCAGCTTGCGATCAGTCATGCCCTCTCCCTGTCTGAGCGCCCCCGCTTTCGGTCAGTCACGACTGCGCAGGAATTCCTAGATGCTGTTGTCAAGCGCTATTCCACCCCGCCTTCTGCCTCTATAGGTCGCCTGATCCTACCGATGCTCTTCCCTGACCTTGCGTCTTTCGCTACTGTTGCTGACCTGGCTGCCCACCTGCTCACGATAGACGCGACGTGGCGCTCTGCTTAGAGCCTTTTAGCCATCCCTCTACTCTACCCTCTACCTGCTTGCCAGCCGCCTCCCTGACCGTCTTGCTACTGCCCGCGACCGCTTTCTTAGCATCCACCTCGGTGACCTCACCCTTACTGAATTTGTTGACACCCTGTCCGCCATAGAGACCCGCCAGCGCTCTATCGCCAAGACCAGCGGTACTGTGCCGGTCCCTATCTTCCAGGGTTGTGCCCCTGCTCAGTGCACCTTCTTCGACGGTTCTGCTGCTGTGGCTGAGACCGCAGCTGCAGTGCAATTCCGTCCGGGGAAGGGTCGCCGCCCCAAGGCTGGGCGCGGCGGTGGGGGTGGTGGTCCAGGTGAAGGTGGTGGTGGAGTCGGGTCGCCTGGTAGTAGCGCTGACAGGGGGACCGTGCCTGGTGCAGCCGAGCAGCCGTCCCAGTAGCCGCACGCCCCGCAGCCGGACCTGCACCAGCCGCAGCAGCCACAGCAGCCGCAACAGCCGCAGCAGCAGAGGCGGGCGACTGGTCTCCCGCCCGGGTAGCCTGGTACTGGTGGTGGAGCTGGCCGTGGTGGTCGCGCGCATGGTGTGCCGTCGGGTGGCAGTTTGAGTGACGGACGCTGTCAGTACCAGCTCCAGACCGGTCCACGCCGTGGCTTCGTTTGTGGTAAGATCGGTCACACCCCCGTCCACTCTTTCCGTCGCCTGGACGACCTGTTTTGTCAGCGCTTCGGCCCGTCGCCCGACCTCCCCGACTGGTACAGCTTGCTTCGCCGTAGTGTTCTGAATTTTGATATGGACATGGATGAGCTTTGTTGTGCCCTGTATGTGCTGTATACTGATGACCCTAGTGTGACTGTTACTTACTACCCCTTGTTGCCTAGTGTAGGCGTGTCTAATCTTGCCTCCCCTGCTGCGTCAGGCGTAGGATCCCCTGCTTTGTTTAGCCTTGGTTCTTCCCTTGCTGCTCCGACTCCAGCCGCCACTGCTGCGCTCTCCTTCACCTTGGACTCTGGCGCTTCCTGGTGTTTCTTCCGCGACTCCACTACGCTGACGCCACTCGCTACTCCTGCTGCAGTTTCCCTTGCTGACCCCTCCTTCAGCGCGGTAGTCGCACGCAGTTCCACCACCCTTCCCTGTCCTGCGGATCCTTCGGGCTCTCTTACAGGCCTGCACATCCCCTCGTTCTTCAGGAACCTAGTTGGTGTTGGCTGCCTCCAGGACCTTGGCGTCACCACTACGTTCCCTCGTCACGAGCGGTATGCTGTCTGTACCGAGGCCGCCACTGGTGTCCCCCTCACCACGTTCCCCCGGGACCCGGTGTCCGGCCCGTTCACACTAGACACCGCGACCCCCCCGGTTGGGACGTCTCCTCAGGTGGCTGCGTCTACCCAGGTTGCGTTGGCCTGCTCCAATCGGTCGCTTACTCACCGGACACTCCTGTGGCACCATTGTCTAGGTCACCCTACACTCTCGCGTCTGCGTCACACGTCACTGCACGGTCTTGTCCTAGGTCTCCCTGTCTTGCGTCTCCACTCCGACCGTGGTGGCGAGTTTGCCTCTGGTGTCCTTGGTCGTTTCTGTCGTGCAGAGGGCATCACCCAGACGTTCACCTTGCCAGACTCCCCACAGCAGAATGGGGTCGCTGAGCGACGCATCGGTTTGGTCATGGAGGTGGCTCGTACCTCCATGATCCATGCCGGTGCACCCCATTTTCTGTGGCCGTTCGCCTTTCACTACGCCGCTCACCAGCTTAACCTATGGCCCAACCCCAGCAGCCGCAGGTTTCGCCGACCCTTCTTTGGTCCGAGTCTCCTGGTGACGTGTCTGCATTCCACGTCTGGGGCTGCCTTGCTCACGTTCGTGCCTCTAGCACGGACAAGCTCACTGGCCACACACTCCCCTGTGTCTTCCTAGGTTCCCCCCTTGACTCGTCTGACTGACACGTCTACCACCCGCCGTCTCACCGTTTCTTTCATTCCCGCGACGTCACCTTTGACGAGTCAGTCTCCTTCTACCGCCGCTTCACCCACCGCGGTCCCCCGGTTACTCCCCCCCTGTTCCTGGTCCCCCCTTCCCTGGTGGCCCCTGCCCCTGCCCCTCACCCTCCCCCTCCCTGTCCTGCCCTGTCTGGTGTGTCCCACGTCACCCCCCTCACGCCGGTTGTCTCGGTCGAGGAGTCTGCTGACTCTGGTGGCCCTGCGGTGCAGTCCTCGCCGCCTGCCCCTCCCCAGGTGTCTCCTCCTCCGCCGCCTTCGCAGCCGCTGTCACCGCCGACACCGCCGCCGCAGCCGTCGTTGCAGCCGCCGCCACCGCAGTCGTCGCAGCAGCAGTTCGTTGCCTCTGGGGGTGCTGGCGTTGGGGTGGGTACTAGTCCTGGGGTTCCTGTAGTGGCTTGTCCCGGCGGGCCTGGGGGTGGTTCCGGTGCTCAAGGGGTTTTGGGCTCTGGGGGTGTTCCTTCTGGGGGTGCTGGAGTGGAGTATTGCGGAGACAACCGTGAAGCAGCTTGCGGTCTCAGTGTCGGTGTCGAGCCGCTGCAGCAGTAGTCACCGCCGGTGTCAGCCCTTCGCCTGCTCGGCCTTCCGTCCCCTGACCACGCGTCTATGCCTCTCCTACCGTCTCCTCCTCTTCCTGTCTACGGCCCTATGTTCCCTCCCCCGGACTCGACTCCGGCTCGTCTTCCCCCTCGTTCCCCTCTTGTGTCCCCTCCTCTGTCTCCTGACCCGACTCCTCCGTCTCACGTCTGGTCTCGTCGTCCCTCCTGTGCTCACCCCATCTCCCCTGTCCCGAGCTCTCACCCTATGTTGCTTCGTTCCCACGTGTCTCGTCCTCCGCTCCTACCGTCGCCTCCTCCGTCCTCCCTTATTGTTGCGCCTCCCCCTCTGTCTGACTACGTTCGCGCCGCTTGTCCTCTTGTTCCTCGGATCCTTGCCTCTCAAGTTACCGACCTGTCTGTTCCGGTCTCGTGTCTTGACGCTCTTGTCGCTGCGTTCGCTGACTTCGCCTCTACCCGCCGCCTTGACTATGCCACCGCTCTGGTCTCTGACCCTGCCAGTCCTCCGTCTGTTGGGGGTGCTGCTGCCCTTGGCAGTGACGTCCTGGAGGACCGCCAGTACGAGCTTACTTTCCTGTCCGAGGCTGCTCCCCATCTCTGTTCCATGCTGCTAGTTCCTAAGGGTGACCCAGACGCTTTCGACATTCCGACCCCTCGCACTTACGCTGAGGCGACATCAGCACCTTGGGCCTCTCAGTGGATAGCTACCATGGAGCAGGAGATGGCATCTTGGAGATCCACCGTCACCTATGTCGACACAGTTCCTCCACCTGGGGTGAACGTAGTCGATGGCCACTGGCTCTTCAAGGTGAAGCGCCCTCCTGGAGAGCCGCCTGTGTTCAAGGCGCGCTACATGGTTAGAGGCTTTGGTCAGCGTGAGGGGGTGGACTTCTTTCAGACTTTCGCCCCGACCCCGAAGATGACTACTCTTCGGGCACTGCTACACGTAGCAGCACAGCTTAACAACGAATTACACTCCCTCGACTTCTCCACTGCGTTTCTTTAGGGCAGTCTTCACGAGCAGGTCTACCTGTGCCGTCCTCAGGGCTTCACTCAAACCTTCCCTCCTGGGACCCAGTGGCTCCTGCGGCGACCCTCGCCGGCCCCGTGTTTGCTTCGCCGCCGGCCCACCGCTGACTCGTGCCTGACCCGTCCTTCCCGACCCGCACTGCACCGCACCCCCCGGCACCGCTCTCCACCGCACTGCGCCGCGCTGTACCGCACTGCACCGCTCCGCACCACATTGCACGGCACTGC